AAACCAAAACCCTACAAAAAGACAACTGAAACGTTAGTAAACGTTTCGTAAATTAAAGTAATAAGAATTTCAAAGTTTACCTTCGAAATTTCATCAAGAAGTCCGAAAACCTGCAAAATAAAAAATTGAAACGTTAGACATTTCGTTTATTTTTTTTAATTTTTTAAAACATAAAATAAAAAAAATAAATATTGTGAAGGTAAATACCTTCGAAATTCTATCATGGAGTTGACCAAAAAGTCAAGTGCCCGCAACCCTACAAAAAAGATAAATGAAACGTAGTTAACGTTTCATTGAATAAAAAAAAAATTAAATATTGAAGTTTTACCTTCGAAATTTCGCATAGATCTACAAAAATAAAAGAAACAAAAATATTAGCAAACGATTCGTTAAAAAAAAATAAATTTCATTTAAAAAAATAAAAATTTAAAGAACTTTGAAGAATACCTTCGAAGCTCTATCCAAGTCCCATCCAAGAAGCTGTGGATCTACAAAAAAAAGAAAATTTTATTAGTTAGTAACACTTCATTAAAATTAAAAGAAAAAACAAAAATTTAAAGATACCTTAAGGTTCCAAGAAGTCACGAACCTACAAAAAGAAAAAACGTTAGTTAGTAACGTTTTGTTAAAGAAAACAAAAGAAATTAAAGAACTTCGAAGGATACCTTCGAAGTTCCATTCAGCATCAGCAAGTTTGAAAAGCGTTGATTCACACCAGTATACGTGTTGATCAACACCAGCTAGTTGTTCAACATGATTAACAATATTAATCAACACTTATATATTGGAGTATATCAGCGCATAATGTTAATATACGCGTCGTTCAACTCTAATTTGTAGTGCAACACATTATGCATTGTTGTTCAACGCACTGTATATTAACGCATATATATGATTACATGTGTATATTTTAATTAAATTATATTTATTTATTTATTTTTACTCACCTTAGGAACCGAACCGGTTACCTCAACTTACAATATCATATCTCACGATCTAACCACTGTACTATTTAATTTAAGTATAATATACATTTATTAAAATTAGTATTTAAAAAAAAAATCATTTCGGCAATACTATAATGGCCGTACTCTATATCACATGTATTACGTGATACTGGATTACCGCTGCGGACTGCGGTATAGCAAAAAAAGAAATTAAGCTTTTTTTAGCAAAGCTTAATTTTTTTTTGCTTTTCTTCGTTCTCCCCTTCCCTTTCGTTTTCCCATTACCCCTTCGTTCTCCCCTTCGTTCTCCCCTTCCCTTTCATTTTCCCATTACCCTTTATTTCTCCCCTTCCCTTTCGTTTCGTTCTTTTCCCTTTCGTTCTCCCCTTTCTCCCCTTTCCTTTATAAAAGTTTTATCCGTTATTTCTATAAAAACTCCGTAAAAATGAGCCTTCACGGATCCATTCACAGAAAATGTAATAAGTGGATAAATTCCGTAATATAAGGTCATTAATTCCGGAGATATGAGCCTTTTACGGAAAAAAGTTTGGTAAGTTTCGTAACAAAACGTTGCGAAACTATTTATTCATTTTTTAACGAAACATTTTTTAACGTTTCAAAATATTTTTTTTAAAAATTCTTTTAATCGGAACGTTGGCTAACGTTCCGATTATTTTTTTTATTTCATTTTTAATCGGAACGTTGAAAAACGTTCCGAAATATTATTTTTTTTTTAAATTCTTTTAATCGGAACGTTGGCTAACGTTCCGATTAATTTTTTTACTTCATTTTTAATCGGAACGTTGAAAAACGTTCCGAAATATTGTTTTTTAAAAAATTCTTTAATCGGAACGTTGGCTAACGTTCCGATTTTTCATTAAAAATATTTTCGAAACGTTTTTTAATGTTTCGAAATATTTGTTTTATTTTTTTTTTAATCGGAACGTTGTCTAACGTTCCGAAATATTTGTTTTTTCATTTTTTTAATCGGAACGTTGGCTAACGT